CCTCCACACCCTTTAACATCACATGTGACAAGTTACCTTAAGTTCTGGTGCTGGCAACCAAGGGTGTGTAGGCAGAACCAGTGAGCAGTAAGAGGCCAGCAGAAGTCCATCACTTAACTGCAAAAGAAGGATAAGCCCAATGACACACAGAAAGGATAAATTTTCCGCAATGAAAAGAACAAAGAATGAAAAAACAAACACACATTGTTTCCCAGCAAACAAAACCTGAATGGCTGGTTGCATAACTGGGGGTGGTTGTGTAAGCTTTGGTTTGATTTCTGGAAAATAATAGAGGAAGTAATCAGTAAAAGATGTTTAAAGTCTGAGACAAATGGCCCTTTGCAGTGGCAGAGTAAGTAAGCAAGAACCCAGCAGTAAAGCCACTGCTGGTAGTTGTCTCGGACAAAAATAATTGATCTAGTTGAACATTGCATAGCCCTAAACTCATACCCTGCTCCATTTCTCTCCCTATTTACACAAAGGAGAAACCCCAAGCAGTGAAAACATCCCAAGTACAAACAGCAGCATATGTTCAGGTGTTCCCAAGCACTGGGAGGAGGACCCTCCTACCATGGCCAGCACCAGGTGCCAGGCTAGGCAGGCTGCAAGGTCCTGCACCCCCTTGCTCCTTCCTCCACAGCACAGTCTCATCAGGCAGAGACTGCTAATTAGCAGAGCTGCTAGTGTTCCTGAAGCTTCTGGGGCTTCTCTTTCCTATCAGACCCCTTGCTGCATGTGGTTGGAGATAACCTGTAGGTTCAACCCAGGATGAGGAAACCAGCATCACAAGCTCATGACCTTCCTTTCTTTAGGGAGTTGGACTAGAAATAGCCCATCAAGTGGGGATCAGCTTCCCCTCTCCTACTGGCAGGACTTCACCACAGGAGAGGGAAAGGAGGAAAGAACTTTTGCTCCCTGCAGGATCCTTGCCTCTCACAGGTTCCAGAAGGATGCACACAACAGGTCTCACTCTAAAACAAGCAGCACAACCAAATAATTGCATCCAGATCACCTGCTTTTCTTGTATTCAGATGTCCAGCTAGCTACACATCAGCCTGGAATTATGCCTTGAACTTGCTTTGAGGTGATATTTATAACATTAGCTAACCTTTAAATCCTTGGAAATGACTGCTCATACCCCTGCCTGGAGGGACAGGAGCCAATGAGACAGATAAGATGCCTTAGACAGAAACAAGTTGTTAATGCAGGGAAACATCCGAGTGAGATCTTAAGCCCTGCTTTTCTCCCAGGGCCATCACATAGAGCAGAAGGTGGTAATCAAGCCCTGCTGCTGATGCTCCCCAGGGAGGTGCGGGCCTTTATAGGGTGAGGAGAAGCCACCATTCCCAACAGCAACCCCTCCTCCAGGAGGATCAATTCCCCTGGTTTTCTATCCCAGCAAGGGGCTGCAAAGGGGTGCTGCAGCCACAGACTCCAACCCCCCCCACAGCAACCCTCCATTGGCTGTTTGGTTTGGCCATGTCAGCTCACAGAAAACCCCACTTCTTGGCATACACAAGGTGGGGTGCACAGAGGGGGAGATACCCCTGCTTGCTTCTCCCCAGGATAGACTAGCTGGGAGCTCCTTGCAAAGGGGCTTGCAAGTGGGTCCCCTGCCCCACTGCCAGCAGCTGACCTGGGGGAAGCACATGGGGACTTACTGCAACTGCCTTAGCTTGGGCATAAAAATCCTTTTGTCCAAGGAGACAGACCTGGAAGACAGCAGCTGGGCTCAGCTGGCACAAGGCACTGAAACCTAACACAAGGGTAGCCCCTGGCCCAGAACCATCAGCCCAGCATGGCTAGAATTCTAGTTATTCAGGATGTTTTGTGCCCCAGCTCCCCTCCAGCCTTTATCATCCCCAGGCTGGGCCAGACTCCCTCCCCTTCACTTCCAGGCTTGCACAGTCCTGGAAGGCTAATCCCAAATACACTTACCTCCTTGGAAAATATCCTTTCACTGCCCCTACACCCTCCTCCCTGCTGGCAGCCATCTCCCAAACCAAGTTTGGTGCAGGACATGGAGCTTTTAAGAGGGCTTAAGCTCATCTCCATTTCCCATGGGCACCTGTGTCTTCACAGCCCAGATGCCAGGCATCTCTTTCAATTCACACATTGGGCTTACAACCAGGTGTAACTCTTTTGCAGCTCCTCCACTTGAGCTCTCAGGGGCCCAGATGCCAAAGGAGTTTCTCCTCTGAGATTTTGTTCATTGAGCTTTTCCACCTGGGAATGCCATAAGGGAAAGTATCTCATTTGCCGTGGAGCCTGTGAGCCCTCGTTTGTGAGTCCCAAAAAAGCTGAGTGCTTGGGCTGTGGGGATGCTCAGCCACTTCCTCCTGCAGCTGCCTCCTCTTCCACAGCTGTGCCCTGCTGCTTCCTCCCCAGCTGAGCAAATGCTGTGACAGTGTAGCCGTGATGGAGTGGCCGTGTCACACACGGGGCCCAGGGTGGCACTGGCTGCTGCTGATCAAGCTCAGGTTCCCCAAGCATGGCCCCAAACTCCAGAGTTTTGGGTATGCAGCAAGTGAGGTTTTTTTTTAGCTTGAACCTTAACAAGAAAGAGAACAGCTGATGCTTGCATGAGCCCTTGCATGTATGCTGGAGGCCAGAGGGGCAGCAGCCAAGTTTGTGAGACTTTCAACTGCTCCAAGAATTGATCAGTGTGGAGCTGGGATGGGCTTTGTAACCTGCTTTCCAGAGAGAACCCAACACACACCATGGTCGGTGGTCTGCCTGTGAGTGGTTCAGCCCCTGTCCTCCTCCTGCACCTCTTCAACACCCCCCCTTCCCACTCTCTCTTCTGTTCTGTTCATTTTCAAACAAAATTATCAGAGAGTGAGCTGTGAATGCACCTGAATCCTGACAAGCCTTGAAAAAGCAAACAGCTGGATTGTGTCCCTGCCAGGCTGTGCTGCAGGAGGGGCAGCAGTCTACCCTCAACCCTTATATTAGACACTAAAGACTCCACTGCCCAGCCATGCTCCCTGTGGGTCTTGCCCCCAAGCTCCAGCAGCAAACAGCCTCCCACTGCACATGGTGGCCCTGCCAGGAGCTGGGACACCAGCTCAGGACATCATAATGAATTTAAAAAAAAGGTTATATCCAAATCACAGTTGAGCTCCTCTGGCCAAGGAAGGGGGAGGCAGCAGCTTTTGGTGGCTGCATCACAAGCTTGGTCACACTTCCTTGTTTCTTCATCAGGACCCACTGCTTGGAAATTCAGACATTACACATTAAAGCGTAAACATCCTAAGGGATGATGAGGGTGGTTGCTGGCTCCCAGCTAGTGATGTCCAAGCAATCTGCTTTGAAGCTCCAGCACCAGTAGCTGCTAAACGCCCAAACCTGGGGAACTCTGAGGACTTCCAAAGAGCATCAGACTGTTTTAAAAATACTTTATTCTTTAGAAAATACAGCGTTCAGTACAGTGTGCTCTGCTCCCCCCAGCTTCAACCACTCCCCCCGCCCACTCCACTGAGGCCAAGGCAACATCGGCACAGTCACCGGGGCAGCAGGAAAGCAGAGGGCAGGTTTCACCCACCCCATGCCCGCGTTCCTGGGAAGGCTGGTGGCTCTTGAGCCCTCACTGGTACCCAGCAGCAAGGTTCTCTCCCACAAAGCCCCCAGGGAAGCCTAATCTGAAGTGTCCTTGGAGCTGGTGCTGGTCCCTGCTGGCTGGGGACATCCCAGGGGGGACACAGAGGGGCTGTCACACTTCCCCACATAACGATTTGGGGTAGCCCATGTGATTTTTAACACAGGGGGCTGACCCAGACCAGAGAGCTAGCAACAAACCAGGGGGGTGGTGGTGGGGGCTGGGGCACATGCAGGGAGGGACCAGGGCTCAGGGTCCCCCCCCACCTCCCATCCTACACAGTGATGGAGGCTGAGTTTAGGCTGTAACAGCTCCGGTTCAAAAAGGGGATGCAAACATCACCCAAAGGCAGAGTGACCTTCCTCCAGGGCCAGAATAAGCTCAGGACTGGGGGGAGGGGGGGGGGGGGAAAAACTTCCTCCCCCAGCTGGCTAGTTTACCCCGGGGAACAACTCACGACCGCAAA